CCCCAAAACCCCAAAACCCCAAAACCCCAAAACCCCAAAACCCCAAACTAGCATTTAAATATTGAATTTAAATATAAATTTACTTTAAAAATGGCTCATTTGTACGACGATTCAGATGACTATGATAATTATGACGGATCTCCAGCAGGATTTGGAGATTATGCAGGCGCTGATGCGCTAGGGCCGTCCTTCGGCCAGCCCTCTTACATGCAGCCTTCGCCTGGCTTCGGTGGCGCATCAGCTTTTGGAGGAGTCGGAGGTCCTATTGGAGGCACTAGCTATGGCATGGGAAGCGATCCTCTTTCAGGAGGAGGTGGTATTGGATTCGGAGCTGCCTCCAAATTTGGAGGCATTGGTGATTCGGGCAACCCATTTGGTATGAACAACTCTGGTGGTGGTAACTTTGGCGGTGGCGCAATTGCTACAGATTATGTCGATCTCAGTAATGTCAAAGCTCCTGACGTGAAGACTCATCAGCCTAATAAATATGCAACGTCTTCTAAAAGTTCCATGAAAAAGCCAGGAAAATCTAAGGAGTCGAGAGGTGTTAGTTTTGGAGATGTAAAGACCTTCTATGTTGAAAAAGAAAGTCAACTTACCGAGACCGATAAAAAATCAAAATCTGAAGATGAAGATACAGTCACGTCTGAAGATGAAGATGAGATCCAGAACAAAGCATTGGCGAGTAAGTTATCTGACTCCAAGAAGGAGAAAGATCTCCTTAAGTCTAAGAAGGAAGAGGCTCAGCCAGGTACCATTGCTGCTATGATCAATAAGATGAACTCTAAACTTGATGACTCTATAACAGAAAGTGGTTCTATTGGCCTAAAGAAATCTGTTGAGAGTGATGACTACAAGATTTCTTCTTCTCAAGATATAGCTTCAAAGAAGCTAAACAAGCAGAGATCGCCAACTGGCTTGTCCGATTCAGACGAAGGTGTTCAGATCAAGTCCCATGACTTTGACAGCAAGAAGCAGTCTAGTGAATATGACTCTGCTGAGATGTCCAGGCAGTTCAATTATGATGAGTCTGAGGACACTTTTAAGAACAAGCCCAAATCTGAGAAATCAGAAAAGTCTAAGAAATCTCAGATGAGTGACACCGAATATGACGATGACTTTGAATCAACCTCTAATCTTTATGAGAGTTCGTTATCCAAGCCAAAGTCTTCGCATTCTAAACATGATGAGATCGAAGATATTCGAAAGCGGAGCGAAGCCTATAAAGCTAAATTAGAAGATTACACTATCAAATCTCAGTTTAAGAAATCTCCTGAAGAAGATGAGGAGACTTCAAAGAGACTAGATTCTTACAGAGCTAATAACTTAAAGGAAGACGAAAGCGAAGTAAGCGAAAGACCTTCTGATGGTCTCAAGGATGCTAGACTCAGTACTGAAGAAAAAGAGTACAAGCTCAGAATGTCGGGCAGTCCGCGTAATGCAGGTCTTACTGAAGAACTTACTAGGGAGAAGTACCAAGCTGAAATCAAGGCGAAGGAACATGAGATGGAGGCAGAGGTTAGCAAAAGAGAAGCCATGAACGCTACAGAGACCAACAAGCTGCTAAAAGAGCGTATCATGGGCTATATCCAGGACATCAATATGTACAGGGTTGAGATTGAAGGCCTCAAGAGGCAAGTTGATGTAGCAGACTCTAATTCTCAGTCCAAGGAAGAAGAACTTGCTCAAGTTAAGCAAGAATATGAAACCCAGCTTAAAATGGAGCGCGAGCGCCAAGCCAACTCCAATGTCAGGGTTGAAAATAGGGAGATTAATGACCTAAAGAAGGAGAATAGACTCTTGAAAGCAGCTCATGATCAAGTAGTCCAAGATAAGTTTGAAGAAGTAGACTACCTCACTAAGCGGTGTGACAAACTTGAGACTGAAAATGTGTCCCTCAGGGTAGGCTCTAAGGCCATCAGAGATGCTGAAAATAAAGCGAAAAAGGCTGAAGAGGAGGTCCACTCCCTCCGCATGAGACTTAAAGAACAACGGATGTCAAAGGAAGCCCAGCCTGTCAAAGGTGTGACCTATAACCATTGGACTAAGGAGCAGCTCGTCAGAGAACTTGTGTCTATTGACAATGCTATTGAGAGGTTTACCAAGGAGAATGAAGCTCTTATGCATGATAATAAGAAGCAAAAGATTGAGATTGATGAGCTAAACCACCTTTTGCATCAAGAGAGCAAGAAATTGGAAGAATACAAGCACAGAATCATCAAGGAAACCGGATCGGTGTTGATTGTAGAGAAAGACGAAGACCTCCATGCAAAAGTCATGAACGATCTGGGAGTTGATCATGCTATCACAAAGAAGGAATTCCAAGATATTAAGGAAAGGTTATTCCAGGCTGATAAGGAAAATGCAACTTTGAAGCAAGATTTCACAATCAAGGAAATCGAATATAAGAAGGAGATTGAGCGTATCAGAGAGCAGAGGGTTGAAGCTGAGCGTAAATTAATCAACCTAGACAGTGCTCTCAAAACCCAGCTTGAAGCCAATAATCGAATGAAGGAGGATAACCACAAAGCTTTGAGTGAGGTCAAAGATGAGCGAGATGAGACCAAGGTCAAACTTGACTGGTACATTGAAAACCAAGATATCATGGGTGAAGAAAGAGTGCTTCTCAAGCAAAAAGATGATAGGATTGATGAGCTGAAGGAAGAGATCCGTCAGCTCAAGACCAACACAACCAGTAGGAAGAGGATCCTAGATCTTGAGAAGCAAGTTCGTGAACTCCAAAGTGCACTTAAGAAAAAGAACCCTGACTCTATCGGCTTGCTAGTGGAGTCTACCAAGCCGTCTCTCGAGGAGCAGGAGGAATACATCAGGTTGCAGAAGGAAAATGAGAAATTGAACAGAACTTTGCAGGATAAGGATAATGAATTCGATCAGAAAATTAGGCTTATGAGAATCGAAATTGATAAGATGAAAGTCAAGTATGAGAAAGCTCAGGCTACCAAACTTCCCGAAGACATCAAGGGTCAACGTATCATCGATCTTGAGAGACAAGTCCAAGAGACTAAAGATTATTACATTGACCGGATCAAGAAAATCCAGGAAAGTAGCGGCAAAATGTCCAAGATTAAGAATGAAATGAAGACTTTGAAAGAAATTGAGACTCTTAAGAAGGAACTTAATGCTGTTAATAAAGAGAAAAAGAAGCTTGAAAGAGAAGTTGGTAGTACAAAGAAGGGATCTAAGGGTGGATCTGCAAATCTAGCACTCTCTATTAATGCCCTACTCGAGGAAGATTACATTTTCACCCTATGAGCTCTGTATAGACAAACAAGAGATATAAAGCAGAGCTTTGAGAAATCTAAAGCACCAGATACTCCTCTGAAAGGAATTGAGAGCTTGATAGACCAGTTTGACAAAGCTTCACAGAAGTTCAAATCTGGAAAGGCAACTATGCTGTTCTCAAAGGTGACTGACAAATGTGTGGAGCTGTCTAAAATTGTTGGCAACAAGAAAGCAAGAGAGGATAAGTCTAAGACACACTCGAAGCTGACCTCTATTGAGCATCTTCTTAAGGCAGAGATTGAGTCAACCATCGGCCAAAGCCTTGAGAAGAACTCTGATCTTTCCGTTGTAGACATAGATAGGTCTTCCAGGGCTAGTCCTGGGAAGGCGCATGACTCCACTCAGGATGAGTATTGGTCTGACTTCTCAGACGATGATTACTCAACTGAAATGAGCGAGGAGAACCAGGCGAAGGAGGTTCTCTCCTCTCTCCAAAGATGGGCCTACAACTCCAATATTGAGAGGAACCTGGAGCGGAAGTACTCACCGAGCTCGGTAATTACTCTGGATCAGTTCAAGGAAGCGCTTAATGAGGAAGGGTACCATTGTGATTTTATCGAGCTCCAAGCTTTGTTAAAGAGACTTGACATTGCCCATGACAGTGGCATTGACTACAAGCAGTTTTTCGATAACCTTAATGATAAAAATGCAGCATGGTGGACTAAGAAGTTGAAGAGCAATAGCCTCGAGGTTGCAGCCCAGGGAAAGAGAAATGGTAATTACAGACCATTCTGCAATCCAGCCATTCATGAATTTATATTAGCCAATATTGGAGTCCAGACTAAGCAAGCTATTAATCGTGCTGGATACTTTAGCGTGAGCGAGCTGATCGAAGAGATTTATTATGAAAATCCTAGTGGGCTGTCAAAGAGACAGTTAAGGAAGGAGCTCCTGAGCAAAGACATCCCTCTGACTAGGCTAGACACTCATATTCTTTACAAAACTTTGGAGGATCCAGAGTCTCAGTCAGTTAAGAGCTCTGATTTTAGGAGATTTGTGGATGATCCTGAAGAATACGTTGTCGCGAAAGGTCTCAATAAGGTTGGTGGGGCAAAGATGTTCTCCATTGATGAATCTGTAATTGATCCAAATGACGGCCTTAAATCTGGATCTCAGTATGATGAGCCTTTGAACAGGCTCAGGACTCATGTTAAGACCAACAAATGTGATATAGCAAAAGCTCTAAAAGAAGCAGATACAGCCAAGATTGGAGAAATCAATAGAAGCGAGTTCTTGAAATTTAACAAGTTGATCAAAAGTCCTTTAACAGTATTGGAGCAGAAAGGTTTGTTCGCTCATATAACTCAATCTACTGGACTAAAAATCACTGTGCCTGATTTGAGTAAGCCCTTGAGCTTTCATGAATAACATTGTATAGCGAATCTGTTGAAATCATCTACAGGGCCAGCTCCAGGTAGAGCTCCAGTCTCACCAAGCAAGAAACCATCTTCACCTGGGAAGGCCAAGATGGACATAGCAACTAAAGAGAAACTTGCTGATCTGGAGAAGAGCATCTTGAATAAGAACGCATTGATAAAGACAATGGAGGCTGAGATCACCCAGATGAGGAACCAGCTGCCTTCTCTCACCTTAAAGGACGACTTGGCTGCTCTCCAGAACCAGAACAGGGAGCTCCGTGAGGAGGCTAAGAAAGCTCAACAGGAGAAGAGGTCACTTGAGAAGATCCTTAAGGAGAACTTCACCACTCCTGAGTCAGGTGACTTCATCCTTCTGCAGAAAAAGATCGAGCTGCTTGAGCAAGGAGTCTACGAACGTGAAAAACAAATTAAGAAGGAGAAATATAACAGCTCAACTTATCAGAAGTACAAGAAGGAGAATGAAGGCTTGGCAAAGCAAATCGAAGAAGAAAGAGCTTACTATTTGTCCATCATTCAGAAGAAAAACCAAGAGATAGCTGTCTTCAGACAAGAGCTCGATATGCTACTGGAGGAAGTTGACCATGTCAAGAGAGATAATATCGAGAAAGAGAAGATTTTTATGGAAAATAAAGGTGATTTAATACCTAGATAATTCATTCAATAATGCTATAAATTCTTAGACTAAAGAATTGGGCTGCTGGGAACCAAGAGTGCCTAAGTGCTAGTGGCACTATAGATGTCTTCATGTTGCGCATAATGTCCTCTCTTATTCAAACGCTTGGATTTTATCATTTAGTAGCAATTATCATATTGAATGGATAACTTTCCAATTTAGGATAGCTCTATTGGGGTTTTGGGGTTTTGGGGTTTTGGGGTTTTGGGG